AAATGAATGGAAAGATTCTGTATACATGGATAAGAAGAATTAGTATTGTTAAAGTGTCCATTCCACCCAAAACAATCTACAGATTCAGTCCAATTCCCTATCAAAATTCCAATTACATTTTTTGTAGAAATAAAAAACAATCCTTAAAATTCATACAGAACCACAAAACACCCTGAATAGTCAAAGCAATCTTAAACAAAAAGAACAAAGCTGAAGGCATCACACTACCTGACTTCAAAATATACTACAAAGCTATAGTAACCAAAACAGCATGGTACTGGCTCAAAAATGGACACATAGACCAATGGAACAGAACAGAAAGCCCAGAAATGAATACATACATGTAATATGTCAATTAATTTTCAACAAAAGTGCCAAGAACACACAAAGGGTAAAGGATAGCCTCTCCAACAATTGGTGTCGGGAAAACGGGATATCCACCTGCAAAAGAATAAAAATTTTCCTGTCTCTCATCATATGCAAAAATTGACTCAAATGTACTAAACACTTAAATATAAGACCTGAAATTATGAAACTACTAGAAGAAAACATGGGAAAAGCTGTTATGACATTGATCTGGACAACAATTTTTTAGATATTATCCCAAAAGCACAGACAACAAAAACAAAAACAGATAAAAGGGGATTACATAAAGCTAAAAATTTTCTGCACAACAAAGAAAACAATCAACAGAACGAAGAGAACCTACAGAATGGGAAAAAATGTTTGCAAACTAGGCATTGAACAAGAGTTAATATCCAGAATATAGAAGAAACTCAAACAAATCAATAGCAAAAAAAAAAAAAAAAAAAAAAAACAACCAAAACAAACAAACAAAAAAAACCCATAATGATCTGATTTTAAAATGGGTAAATAATCTGAATAGACATTTCTCTAAAGAAGACATACAAATGGTCAATAGGCATATAAAAAAATGCTCATCACTAATCATTAGGGAAATGAAAATCAAAACCACAATGAGATATCACCTCCCACCTTTTGGCTTTTATAAAAAAAGACATAAGAGGCTGGGCATGGTGGCTCATGCCTGTAATTCCAGCACTTTGGGAGGCTGAGGTGGGTCGATCACCTGAGGTCAGGAGTTAGAGACCAGCTTCGCCAACATGGTGAAACCCTGTCTCTACTAAAAATACAAAAATTAGCTGGACGTAGTGGCACACACCTGTAATCCCAGCTACTCGGGAGGGTGAGGCAGTAGAATCACTTGGACCCGGGGGTGGTGGCGGGAGGCAAGGTTTTGGTTAGTTAAGATCACACCACTTCATTCCAGCCTGGGTGATAGAGCAAAACTCTATCACACACACACACACACACACACACACACACACACACACACACACACACACACAAAGCATGTTATCTTATTAGAAAAAAAAAAACACATCTTTTACAAAAAAGAAAAAAAAAAGACAAAAGTGTGACATCTTATTAGAAAAAAATGAAAGGTACATCTTTTATAAAAAGAACTTTTAAAATCTTTTTATAAAAGATATGTTTTTTATAAAAAATACAAAAGATAAGTGTGGGTGAGGATATGGCGAAAAGGAAACCCCTGTACACTATTGGTGGGAATGCAAATTAGTACAACCATTATGGAAAACAGTGTAGAGGTTTCTCAAAAAATTAAAAATAAAACTACCTATGATCCAGCAATCCCACTACTGGGTATAAATCCAAAAGAAGTGAAGTTGGTATGTTGAAGACATATCTGCACTCCCATGGTCACTGCAGAACTATTCATAGTAGCCAAGATATGGAATCAACCTAAAAGTCCGTCAGTGGATGAATGGGTAAAGAAAATGTGGTTGTATACTACAATGTAATACAATTCAGCCATAAAAAGAAGGAAATCTCATCACTAGTAACAACATGGATGAATCTGTAAGACAATATGCTAAGTGAAATAAGCCATGATCTTACTTATGTGTGGAATTTTTTAGAAGTTGTACTCATAAAAGCAGAAAATAGAATGATGGTTAACAGGGACTGAGGGGTGAGGGTGGGGAGGGAGGTTACAGAGATGTTGGTCAAAGGACACAAAATTTCAGTTAGATAAGAGGAATTAGTTCAAGAGATCTGTAAGTTCAAGAAATCTATTACAATATGGTAACAATAGTTAATAACAATGGATTATACTCTTGAAGATTGCTAGAAGCAGATTTTTTTTTTTTTTTTGGAGTCTCACTCTGTTGCCCAGGCTGGAGTGCAGCAGCGTGATCTCGGCTCACTGCAACCTCCGTCTAATGGATTCAGGCGATTCTCCTGCCTTGGCCTCCCAAGTAGCTGGGATTACAGGCACCTGCCACCACACTCGGCTAATTTTTGTATTTAGTACAGATGAGGTTTCACCATGTTGGCCAGGCTGGGGTCTAGCTCCTGACCTCTAGCGATCTGCCTGCCTCAGCCTCCCAAAATGCTGGGATTACAGGTGTGAGCTACCACGACTGGCTGAGAGTAGATTTGGAGTGTTCTCAGGACAAAAAAGTATATGAGGTAATCAGTGTGCCAATTAACTTGATTTAGCATACACACATAATGCATACACCTTTCAAAATATTTCATTGTACACGATAAACATTTACAATTTTTATCTGTTAAAAATCAGTTTCCTTTTTAAGTAAAGCAAAGCCAGAATAACTCATCTACAGTGCACAGAAAGCAGGACTTGGCTATCTTGGGGGCAGTGACTGGAAGAGGTGTGAGAGAGCTCTCGTGTTCTGGTGAAATTTCCTGATCTGGGTGGTGGTTCCATGGGTGTGGTCCCTGTGAAAATCCCCTGAGCTCTACACTCATGACCTATGCACCTGTCTGTAGATCAGTTACATATGCTTCAGTGAAAAGGTAAACAAAAAAAGCCAGCTCGGTGGCCCTGGGAGGGAGGGGTGGCTGAATGCGGTGACACCCGTCCCAGCAGATCCAGGTCCTTCATGCTGTAACCCTGTCCAGCTGAACACTACATACCTGGGGGAAGGGAGACCGAGTGGGAAAGTGCCCCAGGCTGGGTCTGAGCACTAGCCTTTGTCACATGCAGGCTGTATGACCTTCTGCGAGCCTCCTCTGATCCTCAGCCTCCTCCTCTAGCTCTCAGGGTGCTTGAGTGTCTCAACACTCAGAGCATTCCACAAGAAGGTCCTACAGGTGTATGGCACCCAGACACCCCAACTGAGCATGCAGCTGCAAGGTTTCCTCTGCACCTGGGAAGGGGAGACAACAGCCAAAGACCCTACCTGGGGGATGTTTTCAGCCCTGAGGAGGGCAGCATGGTCCTTAGAAAAAAGAGGGAGGGAAGGGGTGTGGGGCAGGGATCATGGATGAGGCTGCAGGACCCCGCCAGAGGCCCCAGGATACCAGGTGCAGGAGTCTGGTTTCATGCTAAGGTGAGGCGGAGTGTGAAAGGGTGCTGAACAGGGGAGGGAATCTGGTCACAGCTGTCTTGGGGAGCCCCATCTGGCTGCCACATGGGAAACAGACTAGAAAAGGGTAAGACTAGACCAGAAGCACCAGAAGAACAGCCACAGGACTTGGACTGGCGTTCACATGGCAGGCTCACATGCGGATGCAGAGGATCTGGGTTCCAGAGCCAAGTGAGAGAAAGGCTCAACTCTTCCCGGTAGCCAACCAGCAGTGGGGGTAAAGGGAGAACACAGAAATGCCTGATGGGGGTCCTTCTCCTGTGATCCACTGCCTCATACACCACAGTGGTGGCCAGCACAAAGCACAGGCCTGGCAGAGTGGGTGTCACCCAGTGCTGGTCAAAGGAGCCAGTGATGCACTCACCCATTCCCAGCCGATCAAAGCCCCCTTCTCCCACCTCCCTTCCTCAACTTCTTCTCCCCTCTCGAGGGAAGACACCCCCCACTGCCACCCTTTACCATAGGAACAGGGAAGGGCTGAACAGCTAGGGCTTCATCATTCAGGGGACACAGTCAATTCCAACTGGCACATCTTTGCTGATGCCCATTCTGGGCTGGACCTGAGCTGACTGACGAGGAGGGGGCCAGGGGAATGGTGGTGGCCCTCCGAGATGGAGTCTGAGCAGGGCCTGAAGGATAGGTACAGGGAGAGGGAAAAGGTAGGAGGGCACTGGGTGGGCAGAGCCTGGGGGAAGCTGGCAGGACCAGCTCTGCAGGGCTGGGGATGCCAGGAAGGGGGGCATTGGCACTTACTGGGGCACAGGGGAGCCAGGGACAAGACTAAGGGTCAGATGCTGATGCAGTGACCCGGGACTGAAGTGCCCTGGCTTGAGCCACAGCAGGGAAGGCCAGAAGCCAGAGGGGCCTGGAAAGGGCAGAAATTTCATTTGGTGGCTGCCTGGTTATTTGTGTTTTTGATTTTGTTAATGTATTTATCCCCTTCTATCTCACACCCCGTCCTCCATCTGCTCCTAAGTCACCATCTAATAAGATGCTTAGAGTGTGTCTCTTTGTCCTTTCGTGGGTGTACTGTGACCTCCCAGGCCCCTGTCTCTCCGATGCGTCATGTGCTGAGGAATGGATGGCGGGATGTGGAGGGAGAATGTGCTGTGGAGGGAGGGCCAGGCTCAGGGCCACCTCAGGCTCCCCGCCTCTGGGCCACCCAGAGCTCTGGGCTCCTGGGTGCTGGCGCCAGAGCCAAGGCAGCCAGGCGCAGTGAGTCATTCCAGCCACCATCAGGCGAGCTGGCACCAGGGCTAGGAAATCCTGTCTTTCTTCTCCCCTCCCCTCCCCTCTCCTTCCCGTATCGTTTCTGTGTCCAATCCATTCTCCACCCAGCTGTTGAGTGATCTTTCTAACATAAATCCCACCAGGCCTCTCCCCTGCTGGGAGACACAGAAGGCCTGACGGGCAGGGGCAGGCGTGTATGGGGAATGGGGTCTCTGGCTGGTCCTGCAGCTGCGATGTCCCCCGGCGGTGCATGCGAAGGCTGTGCTGGCTGCAGGCCTGGCTCTGTGTGACCCTGACTGACTCAGACGCCTGACTCCGCAGCTGTCCCTCATCTGGGAATCAGGTCCCGCCCAGGGTGCTGTGAGCAGGAGGGAGCATAGCCAGCAGAAGCCGCTGTTGTAAGGAGCACCTGTAAGCAGGCGGCCAAAGGAGAGGAGCATCTTAAAGGATGTTCTAGCTCGGGGGTTCCTGTAGGCCTTGGGCGAGACAGGAAGAAGCCGAGGACCTGGCCATACCTGGAGGTGGAGACTTCGCTGGGCAGAGAGGACAGGCCCAGGCCCAGCCTCGGGTAAGCAGCCCACCAAGGTTTTAACACGGAAACAACCACATTCGGGAAACCCACAGTCCCAGGCAACCTAGTGCAGAGGCTGCTCTGCCTTGGGGCTCCCAGCCCAGCAAAGCACCGGGTCCTGCAGAGAAAGTGCTGAGAGTGGGCAGATGCAGCTGGGCGTCTCCGTGCGGGACACTTTCTCTTATGGGGGTGGGGTGGGGACTATGTACTCGCTCTCTCCCCGCAGGGAAGACAACCTAACAAAATGGGACTTGATCAGCTTACTGAAACCACCTCTGCCTCGCTGTGCTGCAGGAGCCCAGGCAAGCCCCTGCCCTCTTTGGCCACAGGCTCTCGCCATTAAGTGATGGGGAGGGGAACAGGACGCATCCTTTTTCAATCTGGCAGATCTATCACCAGGACAGCCTTTTTCTCCACTTCCTGCACAGGCAGGCCCTAGACTCAAGTCCCTACACCTGTCTCCAAGACTCAAGGTGTGGAGACTGGTGAGACAGTACCCATTACTCAGATTGGGAAACAGGAGTGTGCCATTCCTCAGCGCAAGCTCCTGCACAACCTCAGAAGTGAGCTGTGCTGTTCTCATTACACAGAGGGGAGGCAGAGGCTCTGAAGGGAGAGAGGGCATTAGGGGCAGAGGCTCAAACCTGTCCCATGTCAAAGTCCTGCTCTGCCTGGCTTGCCACCCCTCCCTGGAGCAGTGACCCACTCTCCAGCCCTGGGTGTCCCGCTCAGGTGTGTCCCCCATTCCAAGTTCACTCGTACACCTTCCCTGTGCCTGACCAAGGGGCAGTGAGGAGTCAGACGGTGGGGGGGGGGGGGCTCTGCCCTAGAGGTCAGCCTGGTGATGTTGACAAGGCAGTGAGATCTGCTCCCAAGAGGAGTGACTCGTTCACGCCGGGCAGGGACGGCTGCATGGACGAAGGAGCATTTAAGCAGGATCTCAAAGGTAGACGGTGATTTCAAGAGATGGAGGAGGTGGAAGGTTTGGGGAGGAAACAATATTCTGGGAGGAAGAAATCATTTAGGCAAGTCGGGAGGACCGGGTGCAGGGGAGAGGGACGAGGAAGTCGAGGCATATTGCTACCGCTGGGTTGTGGCCAGCCCTGAAAGCCAGGCTAAGAACTCAGGCATGAGATGGGGGGGGGCGAGGATTTATGAGAAGATCAAAGGGAAAGGAGGCCCAGGACGCAGGCAGGGAGGCCAGGCTGTAGATGGGCCCCTAAGAAAACAGCGGGGCCCAGTATGGCGTGGCCTTGGCCATGGGGATGAAACAGACAGAGACCCATACAGAGGCAGGTCAGCAGCAGGCAGGCGGGGGCTCTGGAGTTGGCTAGGGTTCTTCCCGAGGCACCAAGGGGCTCACTGCCTCGTGCGATGGCAGACCATGACAACCCCTCATGCGATGGCAGACCACGACACACCCTCATGTGATGGCAGGCCACGCCTCACCCCCTCGTGCGATGGCAGACCATGACAACCCCTCATGCGATGGCAGACCATGGAGCGATGGCAGACCACATCTCACCCCCTCGTGCGATGGCAGACCACATCTCACCCCCTCGTGTGAGGCCACGCCTCACCCCCTCGTGCGATGGCAGACCACAACACCCCCTCGTGCGATGGCAGACCACGACACACCCTCATGCGATGGCAGGCCACGTCTCACCCCCTCGAGCGATGGCAGACCACATCTCACCCCCTCGAGCGATGGCAGACCACATCTCACCCCCTCATGCGATAGCAGGCCACGTCTCACCCCCTCGTGCGATGGCAGACCACGTCTCACCCCCTCGTGCGATGGCAGACCACGTCTCACCCCCTCGTGCGATGGCAGACCACATCTCACCCCCTGGTGCGATGGCAGACCACGTCTCACCCCCTCGAGCGATGGCAGACCACATCTTACCCCCTGGTGCGATGGCAGACCACGTCTCACCCCCTCGAGCGATGGCAGACCACGACACCCCCTCGTGCGATGGCAGACCACATCTCACTCCCTCGTGCGATGGCAGACCACATCTCAACATCTCACCCCCTCGTGTGATGGCAGACCACGTTTCCAGGAGAGCAGTGTGCTGGCAGCACTTCCAGGCCCCCTGCACTACTCTAAGCCACTTCCTATTCCTGACCACGGCCACCTTGAATGCCAGCACCTGCTCCCCATGCCCAGGCAGAGGGCAAATCAGAGCCTTAAGATGTCAGCTTGGGCAACATCCTGTCCACATACCTATCCTCAGATGGGGAGTCTGAGGCCAGCGAGGGGCAAAGCAGTTAACCTCTTCGTGCTTCAGAATTCTCATCAGTAAAATAAAGTTATTTCCTGCTCTACTGGCCCAACCTGCTCACCTTACCCCACATACCAGGCAGGACTTGGCCGTAACAGGCCTTAGTATTCTCATCTGCAAAGCGGAACTCCCCAGCTCCATCCAAAAGCAGGACCTCCCATCACCCCTTGTAGAGTGATAATGAGCATCTAATGACTCTGCAAGGCCCTGGGCTTATTGTGTGAATGTCTGAAATGAGCTGCACTCCACCCTGAAAGGTCCAACATGCTGTCAAATGCAGGCAGGGTCCAGACACCAGGGCCAGGGTCCAGACACCAGACAACAGGCCCTACCAGAGATGCCCTTCCTCCAAACATCTCTGAGCTCTGGCTACCAGGGGCTCAGGCTGGGGCACTGGGGCCAGGGCTATAGCAGTGCCCAGTCCCCAAGGCTCCCAGCTGGTGGGGAGACAGACATTTAGAGTGACCTCCTGGGGTAACAGGACTGTGACTGGGGAAGCCAGCCTCGGTGGGCACTGGGGTGGAGGCAGGGGCTGGGAATGGTGCCTGAAGTGATGCTGCAGTCGGCTCCTGGGGTGGGCTGAATGATGGCCCCCAAAGATACTCCCAACCAAATCCCTAGAACCTGTGAATAACACAAGGGACTTTGCAGATCTGATTAAGGATTGCGAGATGGGGAGAGACGACACTGGCTTATCCGGGCAGACCCTGAATGTAATCACAAGTGTCCCTGTAAGCGAGAGGCAGAGGGGATCTGCCTGCAGAGGAGGAAAGGGCAATGAGACAGTGGAAGCAGAGCCTGGGGCGACGTGGCAGTAAGAAATTCCAGCAGCCACCCGAGGTCGGAAGAGACGGGAACGGAACCTCCCTTGGATCCCACAGAAGGAGCCAGCCTGGATTTTAGCCCCATTAGACTCACAGGGGACTTCTCACCTCTGAAACTATAAGAGCATAAATCTGTGTTGTTTTCAGCCACCAAGTGTGGTAATTTGTCACAACAGCGGTAGGAAAGGAATATGCTCTTGAATGATGCTGTTCCTGAAGAATAGTAATGGGAGCCGGTGGGGGGGCGGCGGGGGGGTCATGGGGCCCCACCTGCCTCTCCTGCCTGGAGAAGCCTGTGAGGGAAATGAAGTTCTTACACCCTGAGCTGCTCCACTGTACATCAAAGTCACCCCACATCAGTTTCTTGGTTACTGCTGTGAGTAACAAATCACTTGGGTCCCACCTCGCTCTGACCCGCAGAAGTTACACAGCAGCAGGGAGCACTAGCTGAGCAGGGGCTGGCTGAGAGGGGCAGGTGGGTCAAGCCAGTGTGCCCCCAGCCTTCTGTTCACCATCCCCGGGGCACACCCTGGCGGTAAAGGGCAGCTGGGGACCAGTAGATGGGCTTTGGTATGCTCCGGCCACCAGTGCCTTCTCCCACCTGCCCACTGTGGCAGAAAACTATCCCTGGGAAAGCTCAGGTCCCTGGAAGCACACATGGAAACAACCAGAATGCGGAGCAATAACCCAGGCCCTGGTGGGTGAGCACACATCACCCACAGCTTCCCTGTCCAAGCCTGAGGCTGGCTTCCTGAGACATCCAGATTCAAACGGCAGCGGGACCTGGCCCATTTGCCTTTGGTGAGCAGGGAAAGGCAAGGCCTGAGGCCACAGTTGAGTGAGCCGCTCTGCCTGCAGTGAAGCAAGGCAATCAATCCCAGGTTGTCTCCGCCAGCCCGGAAGAGGGGCTCAGAGGTAGGCAGCAGGAAGGCCAAGCCTCAGGACCACGGTGGGCCCAGGAAAGTTTTGAACAGGGACCAGGGAAGGAGAGGCAGAAGAGGTGTCAGAGGGCACTCGAGGGGTGCCTGGGAGGGGCTCTGAAGGCACTCGAAACACTTGAATAGATGGGGACAGAGACAGGGCAGGTGAGAAGCCCAGCGGCAGAGAGATTGCTGCCAGCTGTCCAGGAGGCTGCCGGGGAGGGGTGGGGGGTGTTGCAGAGCCCAGGGCTCACTGCTGGGTTTCCTGTTCAAACTGGGGTGCTCCCAGGTGCTCAGTCCTTGCCTCTCCTCAGGAGCTAGAAGCTTTTGGGGAGGCCAAGGGACTTGGTCAGGCAGGTAGAGACCCCTCCCATAAGCAGTCCTTCTTACCCACTAAAGCTAAGAGAGGCTTCTGCTTCAATAGGAGAGGCCTGCTTCCTTCCACCCTTGTTCTCCCAATGTCAGCCCCTTGTCCCCAGGGAAGGAGCTAAGTGATGCTGACCACCAACTGCTGCTAGTAATGATGGCTACCCGACACCATGTACTTAGAAAGATGTGCTCAGTGACACGATCTAAGTTCATCTTCATCATCCCGCACATCCCTGTGAACAGGCAGCTCGTATCCCATTCCACCCATGAGAAAACTGAGACAGAAAAGGAGAGTTCTCGGCCTCAAGGTCATAGGCAGGTAAGAAAGTACAGAGATGGTCTCAGTCAGAAAAAAGATCAGACACATGATTTAGGCCCCGTAGGTAGTAGAGGGTACCCACTGAGGATGCAGGGTTGGGGGCTCCTGTTTGGAGACCAGGACTCTAGGGCTGACCTGAGAGCCTGCCAGGAAAGCAGGTGCAGAAGCAGCCAGAGACAGCGCTGGTCTGGGAGCAGTGTCCCAGATGTCACCCCAAAAGCCCAGAGGCATCTCACAACCACCCTGTCCAACAGTCAACTTGTCAACTTACTCCCAGCTTGCTCCACCTCAATGGTGGTCCCATCTCACAAAGGCAGCCTCGCCCACCTTTCCCCAGCACTGGGGCCCTGTGCAGACCCTGGGCACCTCTGCTCTGGGAACCTTTACCAGGGCCCCTCGTCCCTGCCAAGCCTAGCCCTGTGTGGAGAGCAGAGGAAAGCAGAAGGGAGAGCCCTCTCCCTGCTGTGGCCTCCTCCTTACAGCCCTCAACGGCAGCCCACCCACTACTGTAGCCAAAAGTGACCCTTCTCGGACACACATCTGACCTACTTAATCCACAAGCCACCCCGCCAGCATGCGTTTTCACAAGGCCAGGCCTTTACTCATGCTGTTCCTGGGCCTGCAATGCCCCTGCCTTTTCTTTTCCACTTGGTGGACTTCTTTGAGACCCAACCCCAACAAATCTGCAAGTGAACTCATCCCCAGCTCCCGGGCACCCATCAGTCCCTGTCTTGTGCTCCCAGCACTGGGTACAACTCTGGGTGGGGCCTTATCTGTGGACCCACTGCCTATCTCATCAGAAGAGAGGCTCCTCGTGGCAAAGATGCCGCCTGAGCACCTCTGTGTGCTAGCAACCAACCTGGCCCGGCCTGCAGTAGCAGTGGGGTCCAGCATACCCTGCCCAGGAGGCAAAGGCAGCCAAGCCACCCCACCCCTGGACCCTGGAGACAGAAGCAAGGAGCAGCCCTAGGACCCGGGGAGGTGTCAGTCCTCAGAGAACACAGCGGTTCCCCCAGCAGGCCTCAGACTCATCCATTTGGCAGAGCCTCGCCCTCTCTTCCAAGAAGTCTGCCCAGATCTCTCTCTCCCCTGAGTCCTGGGAGTCACCCTCAGTACTTTTCTCTCCAAACCACAGGTATAGGAAAGAGACTCTGGGCTGAGAGAAAGGTGGACCTGGGAGATTCAAATTCTGGCTCAGCAGCCCTCAGTGGGCAGCTGACTTCACCTCTCTGTGCCCCACTGTGCTCATCTGTATAGAACTTGGAGCTGAATCCCATCACATTGAATGACTCAGAGAGAGAACGTGGCACCTGTTAATGATCTTTGGTCCTACCTCACCTCTGGTCCCCTAGGCCAGTCTTTCTTCCGAGACCCTCAACCCAGAGGAACAGAGGTGGGAACTCTGAGGTCTGAGAAACCAAAGATCCATTCCCTCCCAGACCACCCTCCCACACTCCCGCAACACACACACACACACACACACACACACACACGTGCGCGCACCCTGCAGTCAAGGAGAAAAGCTCCCATTCAACCTGAGGAGAAGTGCCAGGAAGCGGATAGGCTGGGACAGCAGGCGCCTCGGCCCTGCCCCTTCCCCAAGTCTGGGTTGGGTAGCACCCAGAAGGGGTTGGTGGATTACAGGGATGAAAGAGGGGTAAAGGAGGGAACAGAAGAGGGGAATTGTAAAGACGAGAGGAAGGGACAGTCTAGCCCCGGGTGTTAGGCGCGCCCAGCGCTTCCACACTAGGAAAACGACTTGGAAACACCCAAAGGGAGGTGAAAAAAAAGCTCCTCGCCGGGGGTGGGGGTGGGGACTCCTCGCCGGGGGTGGGGGTGGAGAAGAGTCCAGGGGGACCAGGCGGATCCTCCAGGCCCCCGCCCCCAGCCTACGCTCAATTCCTTTCCCCCCGGGCCCGAGAGAGATGCAGCCTCGCTATCGATTCGTGGTCCCGGAGCACACACTGGCCCGCGCTGCACCCGCGCACGCCCCTTCGAAACACATACACACACACACACACACACAAACACACAAGCACACGCGCGATCGCACACGCCTCCCTCCGCCCGCCTCCTACCGGCCGCGCCGCCGTGGGTCCAGCCGGGCTGCCGGGATACGGACACGGCGCGGGCGCAGGAGCGGAGGCTGCAGCCGCTGGGTGCAGCGGCCTCAAGCTCCGGCCCGAGATCCAGCTGGGGCTGGCCTGGGGCGGGGGCTGGCGCTGGCATTCCCCAGGTTCGGCCAGCCCGGCCCCGCCCCGCCCCGCCCGCAGACTCCGCCCATTGCGAGCTGGGGGCGTGGTCTAGCGCGGGGCGGGGCGGCGGCCGGGTGCGCGCATGCGCACTGATGCCTCGGGCGGCCACCACGAGGGGCGGTGGGTTCCAGCCCGGAGGTTGAAGTGGAGCTTAGGGTCCCTAGCGGCACGCGCCGCCGCTCTCCGTTCAGTCGGGTCCTCACTCTTCCTTCTTCCCAGCCTATCAGTCCGCGGTTGGGGCGCATCCCCGGGGCCAGCGTCCAGAGGGCCGGCAGCACTACGAGGGATCCGGCCGGGGCGGAGGTGCAGCCCCCACGAGGGCAGGCCGGGGAAGCCGCTGACTTGGGGCCCGCGTCTGGTACCGAGGGCCCGCAAGGGCCGGGGTAGCTGCCAGGACAAGAACTTGATGGGGGGCGCGCCTCCCTTTCCATGCTCCATCTTCATAGCCGCCCCAAGTTTTCGGATGGAGAAGAGGGAGCCCTAGGCCCCAGGGAGCCTCAGAGGGCGCCTGTCAGATGGGAAAACTGACCCCGCCCGTGTTGAGCACTTAATCTCTTGCAGCGACGGGCTCCTGGGCTCATGTTTGACTGTCTGTGACTGGCTCCCAGAAGGTCCTGGCATAGTGCCAAAATTTGGTTTCCTGATCTGTAAAATGGGGACTATAATCTCTACCCACCACGGCGGTTTGGGACCTCAGATAGAGAAGGTTTAGGGGTGACCAATTCTTGCCTACGAGCTCAGGGATGCCACCTTCCCCCGCCCTGAGGCAGCAAGACAGACGCCCATCTGATCTGATGGGCCCATCAGCCCACTTGCCAGTGGAGCATCTCAGGCGCCCTCATCCTCCCCCTTCAGTTTGCTTCCCAGTCTTCCTTAATGATTTCATCAACCTCTTGTGTTACCAAAACAAGCTTGGGTCCGTCCACCCAGTGCAGCGAAGCCGGACACTGACATCAGGATTTGCACCTGCAGAACGGTAAGCATTTATTGCAGGATGCCAAGCAAGGAGAATAGGCCAGCTAATGGTGAAGACCCAGACCCCCCAATGGTTTATATGTAAGGTTTTAAAGGGTGGAGAGACAGAGGTTATATGCAAAGTCATAAATAAATAAATACTCTGGGGCTATACATTGGCTTGGCCCAAAAAGGTGAGATATTTTGAGGCAGGGGACTTACAGGTCATAGGTGGATTCAGAAATTCTGTGATTTGCAATTAGTCTAGGAAGCAAGACTGTCTTAAAAACCCGGGGTTAACAGGTAGGTAGTAATGTTAAGCATTGGCCTGTGGGTGTGACTCTACAGAATCCTTGGGAAGAAATTTAAAACAAAGAACAGCCCTCAGTTTCCCCTTATCTAAGGCCTAAGTGACAGCTGTGAAAAACAATTCAGGGACATAGGTCAAGATGTTATCTTTAGTTTCTGTAGGGAACCAGACATCTTTGGCGCTAACTTATTTGGTTGGCCCTTGTTTTAAGCTACAGTTGCCTTCTTGCCTATCAAGGTGCTCATTTACTTCTCAAAGCTAGCTGGCTGCCTGGAATTCTCCTTGAAGGGACTCACGATTTTCCTTTATTTCCACTGAGAGGAGTCCCTGCCTCACCTCACTCTCAGTCACCCAGACTTCTCTAGCTTCTCCCCAACCTCCCTGCCTCTGTCCCAGGCCACCCAGATCCTTCTCCCCTAAAAGTAGCCCCAGGCACCTCAGAAGCCTGCTCTCCAACCAAAGAAGACTTTCACATATGCAGATGATGAGACTCCCCACCCATAGAAAAGTGTTCCAAGACTGCACCCCATCTGACTCCCCCACATCACATCCCCTAACCTCACTCCACACCCTGTCCTGGGAGCAGCAGCTTCACCATCCCTTCAAGGGTCATTTCAGGGGCTCTACTCTCCCCACCTGAAACCTTGCCCATGCTGATCTGTGGCTGTCTAAAGGGCTCTTCCACCCCTCCCGTGCCCCAGCATCCCGAAGCTGTCTTGCTCAGTATCCACCCCTCCCTTATGGCCCTTCACTCAGGTAGTGTCTCTCAGAGTTGCTAGTGGGGCCGGGGTTTCCCCTGTGAGGCCAGAGCTCCCAGAGGGCAGAGACCAAGGGTCATTTTCAGGAAGATAACAGCACTTGGTAGATCTGGGCTGCAGTCCTCGCTCTGCCGGTTACTGGCTGTGTGATCTGGGGAGGTTGTCGATCCTTTCACAGCCTCATTTTCCCTGTCTGTAAAGTGAACTTCTGCCTGGAGTGTGTGATGACCAGGTACAGGCAAGTCATGGGGCTCATTAAAGGCCTGGTCGTGTAGGATATTGGGCAGCACTGTCTCTGAGCTGGGCAACTCCCGTGTGTTCCAAGGTAGAGCTGAGAGTTGTGTCTGAGAAGGTATGTTTGCTTCAGCCCACAAAGCAGTGGGGTTCAGAGGATGCTCAGATCTCCTTCTGTATCTCAAAGCGCTGGAGCCACAAGAGGGTGTCATGCAATAGTTGCAAGCATGGACTCTGCTTGAGCTGTTTTAGCTGAGTGACCTCGGACAAGTGACCCAAACTTACAGGGCCAGTCTCCTCTCCTATAAAGCCAGCATAGCAACACCCACACCGTGGAGTTGTTGTGGGGTTAAATAGGCCATGTGGAGCCCTCACGGTGGCCCTTTGCTTGGAGTATGAGCTCAGCATGTGCTAGCTGGTGTTATTGTCATCTGGCCCTAGCCACTCATTTTGTGAAGACACTGGGTCCCAGAAGCAGAGACATGTACTCATTGCTGGTGAGAAGCCCACCTACCCTAGAAGGTTAGTGCTGGAGGGGTCCAGTCCTTTAACCACCTCCAGTAGCTCCACCTTCTCTGACAGGTGACGAAAGAGGCCTAGAGAGAGTGACCTGTGCAGGACAGTGACCTGCTGGCCGGGAGGGGAGAGCATTGGCCCTCTTCTTGCAGGGAGAGAGATCCCCAAGATAAGCCAGGAAGAGCCAGATTTGCCCAACAGGTTTGGGGAAAAGGTGGGACTTTGCTGATGCTCTGGCCCCAGGATCGTGCTGGTCGGTTTTTATAAACTGAGTCATCTAATGGTGCCATCACAGGGCCCGATGTGGGGGTGGACTTCGCATTTCTCATAACAACCCTCTGCAGCAGCTCTGATTAGTCCATTTTCCAGATGACAGGACTGAGCCTCAGGGAGATGCCCGGGTCACACAGTTAGTAACTGGAATCCAAACCGACACTGTCTGACTCCACTGTGGCCTTTCCTTCCCCTCTTCCTATCTCCTCCAGGAAAAGATCTCCTCCACAGGCTCCTTGGCATGCAGTCCCACCTCTGCTTGGATGCCACTGTAACTGGGGACTCATTTCCTCACAGCACAGCCCTTTGCCCTCTACTCGGGAGAGCCTTCCATCACCCAGAGCTGATCCACCCCTCTCTTCCTGGTTCTGCCAGACTCTATACCCTCTATCTTCTTAGTGCTTAGAGACAGAATCTGCCCTGCCAGGTCAGAAAACCCCCATCTTCACCGCTCTTGTGTGTAACAGGATTTCCCAGGTGAAACTCACAATAATGTACTTTTTAAATCCCAACAGACCTAATCGCCAAGCTATTGTGTGAGAATCCTAAAGGAAGCCATGGCATGGTGAGTGGCTCAAAGTGGAGGCTCCTAAGGCTTGGTGTCGCAAGGGGGAATATTGAAAGCTACTATGTTAACCAGTTCATTCCTTTCTCATCTGGCGAGCTCAGGAAAGGGGTCAAGATTGCAAGGTGAGAAGGTCAGTCAGACACAGAACTTTCAGTGGGGAATAGTTGCGAATGGTGCTCCCCTGTGTAATGAAAACTGGGAGCTCACATGGGACTCCATGAAGCGGAACAGATGTCATGGAAATTGGGATATCGAGATAAGATGACCTCTGAGTTGCTTTCAATTCCATCCTTCTCTGAAACACTGCTTGTATTTTGTTACTATTCTGGATATTATTAAAAACCAGCCAGACTAAGGGGATTTATTCCCAGAATGCAAGGTTGATTTAATATTAGAAAAATCCATCCATTAATAGCATTGCATTAGTTTCCTAGGGCTGCCATAATGACAAGCTGGGCAGCTGAACCAACAGAGATGTATTGTCTCACAGTCCTGGAGGCTAGAAGTTCAAGATAAAGGTATCGCTAATTCTGATAAAGGTATCATCAGGATTGGTTCCTTCTATGGGATCCAATTCAACATACAACAAGCATGTACCATATGAATGAAGCTAAGGAGAGAATAATATGCTCATTTATTTCTCTATAAATGCTAAGAAAGCGTTAACAAAATTCAATACCCATTCATGATAAAAGACACTCAGTGAAATAGGAATTAAAGAATATTTTCTCAACATGATAAGATATAGTCCTATAAGCCAGCATCTTATTTAATCAGGAGACACTGGAAGCATTTTCACTAAGATCAAGAACATAGTGTTGCAGGAGCAGCCACGGGAAACAGATCTCTCGGGCACCGAATATTGGAGGAAGGAGTCTATTCGGCTGGGAGCAAGGTGGCATATTTGCCTAATATCCAAGCTCCCCTAACAAAGGAAGGTTCCTGGGCCGGGCGCGGGGGCTCACGCTTGTAATCCCAGCACTTTGGGAGGCCGAGGCGGGTGGATCACGAGGTCAAGAGATCGAGACCATCCTGGCCAACATGGTGAAACCCCGTCTCTACTAAAAATACAAAAAATTAGCTGGGCATGGTGGCACGTGCCTGTAATCCCACCTACTCGGGAGGCTGAGGCAGGAGAATTGCCTGAACCCAGGAGGCGGAGGCTGCGGCGAGCCGAGATCGCGCCATTGCACTCCAGCCTGGGTAACAAGAGCGAAACTCTGTCTCAAAAACAAAACAAAACAAAAAAACAAAGGAAGTTTCCTTCTTTATATAGGCTTATAATTTAGATGTTACACGTGGAAGAATCTTAGGTTTATAGCTTAACATATGAAAAGGGTCTCTGTTTACAGTCTTAGGAATTACATATGAAAAGGGTTTCAGTTTACAGT